CCGGTGACCAGAACAGATGCTACGTGAGAAGGCAGATAGTGGTGCAGGAAGCGCTGTCTGCCCATAAGATAGAACGGGAAGTAGTGAGCTGCCCAGCAGAGGAAGAAGAAACCGGTGCTGTTGTACAGGCGGTGACGGGTTCCTGGGCCCCAGACTGATTGATTACCATTAGTTCATGACAAACGATGAGATGGGGGACATGTACTTACTTTCTTCCAGAGCGTCGATTCCACGACGGAGAGCAAGCTGGTCGGCTCCGAGGATACCGACAAAAACCGCGAGAAGACTGCTGCAAAGCCACCATCCGACGGGGTTTCCAAGGAAGTAGATTTGCTCTCGGGTGTCGTTCTTTGTCCAGAAGCTGACACCACGGAGCAAGAAGGGCCACTGGAAGGGTTCACTGGCATACGGATGGCTGCTCGTCAAGGCGTTGTTATGGTGGAACATGGCAGCCTGGAGTTCGAGGTACTTCTTCAGGAAACGCATTGGCTGGACCTTGCGGGGTTCCTGGTGGCTTCGAGGGCTGTCCGGAGCCAAAGATGGGATATCTTCCGCATACCAGAGATTGCTTGGCTCCTTGGAGTTCTTGTTTCCGTTAATTTCAGCCTGCTTGTATCCCCAGTCTGGCAGAGGGTTGGTATGAGTCCACATGGCAACCTTTGAAGGGAAATGGATCAGGTTGAACAGGCTGGAGCGGGTTCGGAATTCCTCATCAGCCTTGCCCTTGGGGACCTGGATCTCGAACAAGGTGTCGTTATGTCGGTTGCCAGCCGCTTCTTCAGGGGAGGTGGTGGTAAACTCCTGGTTGGTTGGGTAGCTGGGAGATGCAACATCGTGTGAGAGTAGGAAGGTGTTGGTAGCGACATGGCGGAGCTGCACGATATGTCCATTGCGAACTTTGTGTCCGGTACGATTATCAGAAGCAAAGGGAACCTGAGGCAGGATTTCCCAGTGGTTGTTGGTGTCGTTGTGAGGGTATCCGGTGACCTGCTGGCCCTGACTGGAGACACGGCCGTCATCATATCGAAGAGGATAGCGGTCAGGGTGACTGTGTAGGTAGACCTTGGTGTCCTTGTGCCGGAAGGTAAGTACATCATAGTATTCGACTCCCTTGGACTGAGCAAACATGGGGTTGTCACTGAGCGAGGCCTGGAACTCCGGGCTCATGAAGTCATCACCGGGGCCAGACTTCGTGAGAATAGCAAAATGGACCTGGAACCAGAGGAGGTAGATGAAAAAGGGGACGATGATCAAGCCGAACGCACGAGCAGCGAAATGGGTACCAAACTCGAAGAGACTAAGCTTGCCCTGGCGGCGGTTCACATCAAGCAACCCCCATAGATCGATCAAGACAGCAGATCCGATGGTCACGAAGGTGAAGACACCAACGTACTTGGTCGAGATGACACAGCTGAGAGCAATGCCGGTCATAAGCATCCATTTCCACCACTTTCGGCTAAAAGGTTGATGTCTGTTCTTGTGGAATTTGATATAGCAGAGCACACTCAATGCCATTGAAATGACAAGAGTGGCATCAAGCAGAATCAGCCTATCCTCGCCGATATGGGCATTGTCGAACAGGAGAAGACCGGCGGAAAGAACACAGGCAGGGAGCGAGTATCCAGATTCCCACATGATGAGAAACACGACGGGGACGGTCAGGGAGCCAAGCATGGCCGGTAGAGCGCGAAGGGCAACATAAGGCACCTTGTTGTCCGTGTACGAGTCTCCAATGTTTTCAAACAGGAATTTTCCATCGAATCCAACCAGCCAGCCGACCAGCGCAAAGAGGAGTTTGGCAAACGGTGGGTGGACATCGAAGAAGTATGTGCCTTGGATATAAAGTGAAGCAAACTGCAGCACACACCGTCAGCCCAGCTGCTCTCCCATCTATCCCTACAAGACAATTATATCGAGATATAACAGCAATGCTTCTAAACTGACCTTTCCGAAGTGTACTTCATCAAACACCACCTGGTCAGGATAGCTGATCTTCCAGAACCTCGTAGCAAACGCGCCAATGGTAACAATGACCAGGGCAAGTCTGTAATCCCATTCTGACGAGGACTCGGTCTGTCCCTTTCCCTTCTTTGCAGCTGGCTTATTCTCAGTGCTCTTCAAGTCTGGCGCAGCTGCTGGAGAGGGGGTAGGGCTCTCGCCGTTCTTCTTGCCGCCCCGGTGTCGAACGCTGGAGGACGGGGACGCCATCGTCTGGCAGACAGTCGTAGGCGTAGATTCTGCAGTGTATCCTCTATCCGAGCGAGAATCTGCTTCGAGAAGGGTGGAATTTGGTATGTTATCAACTGTCCAAACTGAACACGTCAGCATCAAATGGCCCAGCGTAGAGAAAAAGGGTACAGGACGGGCAAAGTAACGCGAATCTGTCGCTGCATACCTCATGCACGTGAGAATGAAAGGGGGAAAAAAGAGCCTTAGAAGGACATAATTAAAGAGCGTTAAGAAGGGTAGAAAAGAAGAGTAATTAAAGAGAAGACGAGAAGAAGTAGAAGTAAGACGGAGAATGAAGAGGGAGAAAGGGGTGTTGTTTGCTGGAGGCGAAGACGATATCGAAGTCGCAGCTTTTTTTTTTTCTTCCCTGCAGGCGCTTGGCCAGCGTCTCCTGAAACCCCCAGACAGGCCGTTTGTTAATTCTCCGAAGGACACGAGAAGAGAGAGAGAGAGCGAGAGAGAGCGAGAAAGTGAGCTATGCATATACAGTGATAATTGGTAGTAACAATGGCTATACAGGCGGGCTTTCTTTCTAGTACACAGTGGTAAATGCTCAGGCAGTTATGCATCCAAAGCAGTAAGAAAAACCAGGAAGAACAAGAAGAACAAGGCTGAATACACCAAAAACGCCGTCCATGCAGGGCTTTAATCGTCATTTTCCATCATTTCAAGCAGTTCGAGCTCCCTCGTTATCACGGCCTGGTACTCTGCTCGCGACATACCAGCCGCCCTGGCAAGGCGGAACATGCTCTTGACGTTGGTCGAGATGTGCTGGCGGATGGCCATCTCAGAGGCCGACTGGCACTCCGCTGAGTACTCGAGTTTGGAGATAGCGTCCGACCGGTTCGAGGACGAGGCAGAGGCAGGTCGTGGGTGGTTGAGTGGTAGTTCTGACTCCTCTTCGGCCGGCTGTCTTCCGCGTTCAGGTGCGGCGGCGGCGGTGGCAGACTGGGACTGTAGCTGCTGTTGCTGAATGATGTTGCCCATCTGCCGCTTGAAGATGTCTTCCAGGGTATTTCCGTTGAGAGAGGAGTCTCCTACTTCGGCCTTGTCGATGGTAGGGTCGTCGCTGTCCAGGGCAGGCTGGACATTGGAGTACTGGTTGTAGTATGCCGTATCAGACATCTGCTCTCCTCCGCGGCCGTTATGCTGGTCTGGACCCAAGCTGACTGCACCGTTCGCCGGCGTACGAGACTGTACATTGTCGTACTGGGCCCAGTAGTCGTCCTCGTCCTCGCCGTCTCGGTTGTCATCCTCGTGTACAATGACAGGGACACTGGCCTTCGCCTCTTTCACAGGTTCCTTGGCCGTCGACTCTCGCAGGGCCTCGCTGGCCTCCTCAATGGAGCGGAACCAGGCACCCTCTTCGTCTCGCAGAGCGTCGAGGGGGAGGACTTCAGCGACTCTCCATCCAGCACCACCGCCCTCCTGGTCCAGGGGACACCACACGTACACCACCGTCAGCCCAAACTCGTCCAGCGGGAGCTGACACCGGAGGGTCTCGGCGTCAAGCCATCTATATGCTATTATGATATCGTCAGGGATCTCTATCTCTCCCGACACAGGGTGTGGTTCAAACGAGCTCTCTGCCTCGCCCACAATCCTCTCCACTTCCGCAGCATTGGCCGGGCCCCAGCACAGCAGTCGGAGCCACGACTCCGCCGACGAAGTAGAGCCAGTACCCGAGCCCGCACCTAGTAGCTGTACTCGCTGTCGAAGGACCGGAGAGAGCAGGGGGAGCAGCACTGGCGGCGGCCTCGAAGCCGCAAAGCCGAGGGGAAGACAAGCAAGCAGCGGCGCCAAAAGCTGTCTCGGCTCAGGAGGAGGAATGTAATCGACCATAGTCAGCGGGTAAAATCAAAGCCCCGTCAGCGTCAATCAGTGTCGAGTGTTAATCTCTGCTTTTTCCCCTTTTTCTTCCTCTTCTTCCTCCCAGGCTGTGCTGGCCGGCGGCTTTATAGACTCGGAGGTGGGTGAAAAGTCACGCGTACGGATAGTTAAGCGGCAGAAGTGAAAAGTGACCGTTCCACGATGCTTGCTTCTTTGTTGGCGCAGAGGCGCATGAGGGCCAAATATGACTCTGATGGCAAAGCGAAAGATGACAGACAAGCAGGAGAGCTGCAGCTGGGGGGGGGGGGGGGGGTTAGCTAGGTTAATATATGTGTTCTTCTATACGGCGGATTCCAGCAAGTGGAAATGGTTCCGTCCGCCCAAGGGTGCATTTTTCTTTTGACTCCACGGCTAGTTCCCCCAGGGCAGGCCTGACAGGGCAGTGCGAGACTCGGTGAAGCGAAGACGACGGAGAGAGCCCAGCGGAGAGGGCTTTTTCTCACCCAGCCGGACAGCTCGACGTCTCCATCTTCTCCCGCCTTCGCCTTCGCCTTCACTTCGTCTCTTGTTTTGTTTGTCTCTTGATTTTCTGTTCTTTTTTTGTTGTTTTTTTCCGACTTTTTTTTGGTGAGAAAAAGCGATGGACGTCATATGCTTAGTCAGAGATTACATAATATCCGCCATAGAGAGCTTTCGGCGATAGAAAGACGGAGATAGAGAGAGAGAGAGGACACAAGTGATGTAGATGATAGAAGACATATCTAGATAGATGGCATATAGTATATAGACAATAGTGGAAGTGGAAGAGATAGGTTACGCTGGATTAGTTTATCGCAGGTGAAGAACAAGGGGTATACTAAATACGGCATATGGTACAGGAGCAGCAAGGAGCCAGGATGACGGCGTGAAAAGACGAACATGAAGCAGGGCGAGCGAGGCAGCTACAGGTTCCTCTCACGGCTGGCCTGTTCAAGTCGGCCCGTGAGACGCTTCATGCCCGCCCATTCGTCCGCCGAGACATCTTCAGCACTGCCACTCAGCCCCTTTCCAACATCAAAGACAGTCACCACTCCGTCAAGACCACCGGTAGCAATTCTTCGGCCCTCTCGCTCTTCCCACGCGACCTTGTTCAGTCCCTTGGTCAGGACGCCGCCGCGGCCAGCGGTTGGCGTGGCGCTGGCTACGGGCACCTCTACCTCCTGCTGCAAGTCCCATATCTCGAGTCTTCCGGCTCCGTCAACAAGGGAGAAGATGCTGGGTCGATGAGGGGACCATTTGGCGTCATACACTACATCTTCGCGGGTGATGTCAAGGATGGGTGAGACGGTCTGCAGCTGAGCGGTGGAAGAGGTTCCCGATGTCGAGGTCGAGGCCGGGGCACGGATACGCCAGAGTTTTACGCTCCAGTCCAGACTCGAGCTGAGCATCAAATCGCTTAGATCTACCGGTCCTCGGGCAGGATGGAAGGCCGTTGACATGATTGGGGCAGCGTGGCCACGGTACGAGAGACGGTGGTCGGTACCGGACTTGGCCCCTGCACGGTCATATCGATGGCACGGATATATCGTCCCCTCTTCAGTGCCAACAAGGAAGAAAGTCGGGTCTGACTGGGGGAAGGACAGTGTTGTGGGAGCTAGGTCTTCGGTCTTAGATGGCGGAGGAGTGGTCAGTTCCAGGTATTCCTGTGGCTGTGAGAGCATGTCGACCGTCCATCCACAGACAACTCCGTCCGTCGAAGCTGTCAGGATGTTATGTGCATTCTGTGTTCCCACAATTGCAATGCTGTACACCGGGTGGGTGTGACCGGAGCCCGACAGCGGCGTCTTTTGTACGGGAGCACCACCTCCCGCTCGGGATGATCGCGTATCCCATAGCAGAACCTGTCCAGAGTATGATCCACCTACGATCAGGTTTGGATGAAACGGAGAGAACTTTGCCGTCAATATATCTGAAGTTGAGTGAAATACGTATTCAGGCCGTGTGTGTAGATGTTGGTTCCACACTTGTACCAGGCCATCCGGTTCATGAGGAGCTGTTGGATTTTTGGTATAAGATGCCAAAACAAGCTCAGGGAACTAGACATTTCGTTAGCATGCCACACTACCTTCCATAACCAGCAGCTAATAGAAATAGAACGAGGAATAAAAACACACCTTTGGAGAGAAACTTATATCACTGATCATTCGTTTCTTGCTCCATCGTTCGTCAAAGAATTGTGTGATTTCTTTCAGGTCTCTTCTCTTCTTGCCCGTGCCATACTCTTCATCATCCTCGTCCTCTGCCCCAACGCCGCCCAGGGCATAATCGGCAAGAACGTCATATTCTTCGTCCAACGCTCGCTCAATAACCTTGCTGGATCTTTCAACGAAATCCAAAAACTCGCTTGCTGAAGTCACTGCATTCAGCTCGTCCGCAGTCAATGTTCGTAGTGGGTATCGCAGTTGCGTAGATGTGGTTGTCGGCCCGCCATTGGCCCAATCCTTTGCCAGTTTTAGCTCTTCTTCAATCTCCTTTCGTAAGTTATCACGTATTTCTTCGTCTTTCTCTCTGGCTCTCCGACTAAAACGCTTAGACGTTCGAGATGGTGTGGTAGGTGAGCCACCGTCTTCCAATTCCGATATATCATCATCTACCGGTGTTTCTGGCTCTGGGATGGAGTCTGTCTGGACACCTTTGCTGTATGTAAGGATTTCTACCTTGGGGGGAGCTGCTGGGGCTGGTTCCGGTACGGCAGTGTAGGGCGTTTCGTCAATTGTTTGCGTCGCTATAGATAGGGACATAGGTCGGGCTGGAGATGTAAATGTTTCCATATCTCCGCTCAACTGTCCAGCGCTGAGAACCGAATTGGGTCTGCTACCCCGGCCTCTTGGAGACTGCTCGCCTCCATCTTTCAAGGCTGCCGACGAAGGCCTATCAACCAATCTGGATATGAGGTTGTCTAGTTCTGCTCTGTTGTCAGACCGATTTGGAACGGGAGCCACCACCTATGAAAACCATTAGCTATACTGCCCAGCATAACTGCCACAGTTCAGTCAGACCAAATGTATACAAACCACCTACCTCAGAGCTCTCCCCAACACTCATGCGATTCTGCGAGAACTCCCGCTGTCGTAGCTCTCGCTGCCGCTTCAACTCCGCGAGCTTGGCCTTCTTCGCGAGTATCTCCTCCTTTCTCAGCTGCATATTCCGGTCCGCCATCTTTGCTCTTCCAGCCGGCTGTCTCTTATCCGCCTTGTCTTCGTCTTCTTCGCCTCTGCTGCTGCTGCTGCTTCTTGAAGCCGCCGTACTCAACCGTGTAGTCTGCCCAACTGCCTGCCTCGAACCTCTTCTCGCTGCTCTGCTTTCATCCCTGGCGTTGAATGGACATCAAAATATTACATAAGCGGAGCCAGGAACATCAGAAAATCCCGGAACGTTCAATCTCAAATCCGAACTTGGGTCGAAAAACACCACCAAGCAGTCGTCCGGGAACCTCCATTGAGCTCAGATCGCAAGTGGCTGCTGTGCGAATTGCATCGCCAGAGATATATACTCTTCGTCTCCTCCCGTTACCTCGCTATTTTTCTCGACACCCCTGTCACTGGGGATTCTTCCTTCACTTTCGTGGTTAAAAATGGCAACATCCCAAGGAGTTAACGTAAGGCTTCAATCGCAAATTCCTGTCCGAAGAGAATGATATGCGAATATCAATTGTTTCGATGGCATCGTGGGTGATACTGTGTGATGGGTTTCCGTTTACTGATGTCCATGCGCTGGTGTAGGTCCTGCGATATTCCGCTCTCTTCGCGGGTGTCTTCTACGGTTTATATCACCAGTCTACTCTCAACACACAAGCGAGAGCCGCTCAGATAGAAAGAGAATACAAGAGAAAGGAGTCTTTGATAGAGCAGGCAAGGGCTGAATACAAGAACAAGACCTCGCCACCAAAGAAGGACGACAGCAGTGGTATGTTAGCCGCTTTAGACACCGCATAACCAAGTTTTTTTCATCCGGCCCTCCGGCTCACCAGATAAAATAGTTATCACCGATCCAAATGATGCGCGATTTGACCTAGAGGCTCTTTTGAAGGCTACCGCGGGTGAGACGGCGAAATAAGACCGTGACATTTCATTTGGGGATGGGAAAAAGTGATGACAAGATGGATTATTAGGCAGCTCAACCAGCCCATTATCTTGAATCCAGAAAATGCCATGATCTGGGCTCGTTGATGCTGCTACCAAAATGTGAAGGTGGCCTCGGTCCCAGCGCTTGGAAGAGGGAGCCGAACCATCATTACTATGTATTATTGTATCATCTCATTTTTTTTAGTCTGTTGAGCAAAAGACGAAGGGAAGCAGCCGCATCAATAGATTTGTTTCTTGCTGTATATACTCATGGAATTTTGTCCAGTGGTGTACCGTCTTGTATCGATCTATTATCCTACGTTGTTGTTGATGATAATGACTTCTAGCATGACCGCGCCAATGACAAAGATCCCTTTGCAGAGTTCTAATGCAGAATCCCACCCTTGCATGATTGAATATAATCTCTTCACCCGTGGAGTATATTAGTAGTAGCGGATGCTACTAATAATTCCAAGATTCGTGGGTTGGATGGTAGAGACCAAAAACGTCTGGTTTGAACCGCATCAGTGTACGGAGTACATAAATTGCAGGTTTTCGATCCACCTATGGTGGAACATGAACTTCAGCCACTTCCATGGTTCCCGATAAGTGCAGTTACTTGCCCGAGCGTTATCCTCTCTTGTGCACCCGGCTGAGTTACTGGCCTTGCGGGGTGCATCAACCTTGAAACAGAATCATAGGTCCAGCCTTTTGCAGAAAGATCCTGTATCAATTGTGATGGTACATCGTCGCCAGTATCTTGCATAGCGTCCGAGTCTGGCTCAAGTCCTAGCTTTGATTCGATGGTGGGTAGTCTAACCGTCTTATACGATAAACTGGTATCGTCTATGACCTTGTTCCGGTAATGAACTAATACAGATTAGAAACCGCTCTCTCAAATCCCACGGCATGTTCTTTCTATCACACGAACCAGTATAGGACTGAACTAGAGGTTCAGTAAGCTTATGCCATGGGGCTGTCTTGAGAATCTCATAAACTGTCCCATGGTCCCTCGTCCCAACCGCTCGTACTAGCTTTTCGAGAGCTTTCATCAAGGTATCATCCTCAAGTAGAGTAAGAGGCAAGCGGCGGAATATCATACGAGCTTCATGGCTGTTATAAAAGAGCCGTTAACACTTTGATCAGTTACGAAATACGGGCCATTCTTACATATCATCGTCAAGAAGAAGACATATTAAATATGAAGAGTAATATGTGCTTAAAAACTCCCTATCACTTGCTGTGCCATCCTGCAAATGTTTGATGTTGATCTCTCCCTCAAGCTCTATCAGCGATTCAAGCGGGGAAGTCGAAGTAGATAATATCTCAGTTAACCGTTCCGGTACCGAGGGAGCTGACGACATCGTTATGGGATCGAAATCTAGTATGTAAAGGGAACCAAAATCCAGGTGCCTGTTCAGTACTGGAGACGTAGTTGTACCTTGCAGGCAAGTGATTCAAATCATCAGCGATGCAGCTCCCAATCTTATGAGGACGCGGGACGATAAGAATGGCCGTTAAAGCGGCATGGAACACCCTTGGTTGCTTTTGTCGCCGCTTTAAACCCCATCCAGTCTTCAATTGCCAGGTGGAATCATCTATGAATGTGTGTTAAAGGGATTTGGACGAGCTTTTAAATCTAAGAAGGGAATAAAAAGAAAGAAGGAAAAGATTGGATTCCCCGAACTAAGACCCAATTCAAGGTTGTTAAGAATAACTAAAGCAGGGCGTCTATCTTACAGCACCCTAGCAGCTCACCCATAGGCAAGATGCACCCAGCAAACCACTGAGAACTGATCGTACAAACTGTTGGTGTAAAATAAAACAAACAGAACCTCTCGTGGTATAGTACAATTTACCCAATCAAGACTTGGCCGGCTCCTCAAACCGTAGGTAGAAAGCCAAGCAAACAGAAACACGAGGGAAAAAAGGAAAAAGAGAGAAAATAAAGAGATAGAAACAAGGCTAGGAAGATGTTATGCCAGTCCGGGCTGTCTGAATCGGAGTTCCGCTGTTTTGAGGAGTAGGAGTGGTACCATTCTGAGGCACAGGCGTAGAGTTGGCCGAATTGGGATTCCGACGGGGATCCCGGGTTGGAACTTGTTTCGCTTGCTCCGGGAGAACCTCCGGTTTCCACTTTAGGAGAATCTTCGTTGCAAGCGGGCGAGTTTCCTCCACTGTTTGATTTAAGAGTCAGCTGGGAGTCCTGCGTATAAGGTTTATACTGGGGAGTTAGCTTACTTGTCTGGTATAAGTCCACCAATGCATCTAGGCAGAGTTGTCTAGCAGGGGGTCGGACAATGATGAGATAACTATTCTGTGTTAGCAATTCCCAAATTAGGTGGTGAAACGGCGCTGACGGGTACTTACTGCAAAGCTTGAATACACAGGCTGACTCTCTCTGGATCGTTTGCTAGGGTCTTCACCTTTTGTATTAAGGGAGAGTCCAGCTCGGGCAATTCACTCAAGAATCGTATGAGAACTTTATCCTTGGCATCAAGGTATGGAAGCATGCCCTCCAGCAGCTTCAAAGACCAGCGGCCATAATGAATTGGTACGTAGGGGTTCTTTGGGTCCCCCTCAATCTGTGAGCTGGCATTCTTCAGCTGTATCTGGTCATTATACCACTCTTCATTCATCCAGGAGATGGCAAAGTTCATCCGAGCTCTAAAGTCTTCTAGGACATAGCGGTAAAGCATATTGCGAATGGTATTGGCAATGTTCTGTTTCCCGGGCTCTTTTTGATCATCGACACTTTCCTCACTCTCAAGGCCAGCTGATGAGCGGGTAGCAAGTCTCGTAAGTAGGGTCAGCCACGATTCTCGATCAGAAGAACTGGCAGCTAGCCTCCCGAATCCAAGGGACTGAGAAGGGTTGTTGGAAACAGCTTTTGAAGACTGTGGGAGAGTAGAGATCATTGAAAATATCCTGCTGACTGTCTCCTTGCCTAGATGTTCAACATCCTCAGGGGATAGAGACGGTGGCCTCGGCAATACGAATGGGCCTAGTGAGACAATATCTGGTAAACCCTCAGTCGAAGGTGCTTCAGGCTTAGCAATATCGGTAGGCGGGCCAGGGATATCCATTGGCTGATACTCTGGCTCGTAGTCATCGTCGTCTTCATCAGCCGCGGGGGGTGCGCTGGCAGCCTGGTTTTGTCTTTCAAATACTTGCTTCTTGCAGATGGTCTCATATCGAGAACGGACAGCCTATAAATCCTTTATTAGCATATATATTCAAACTCAAACGGGACCTGATCAGGAGTAGAGGGAAACATACCCCGATAGCCAAATCTAAGGATTCTCCTCCCACCCGAGTAAGTACTGGGATGATAATCTTCACCACCAAGTCTACCGGGAGCTGCTTCACGTCGAATGAAGCGAGACCGACATCCTCTGTAAGGGTAAACAGCTGTCCGAAACTTGTAGGGCCTGGCGGAAGTGGAGGAATTTTGTGCTGAGGTGGTGTTTCAAGGCCCAGTCTTGCTCGCTTTGCGCTGTCTACTACATCAGTAGGTTCTGCGGGTAAAGCACGTTTCCGTGATGCTTCATCGAATATCTCATTGTGTGATTGTGCCAGTCGCTCAATGTATTGTTGAATACGCCCGGCCAGAGGGTGGGTAGGAGCCCTAGATAGCAATTCACCGTTAGCCGAACCATGTCGGGAGGCTACTGGCGTGTGATCTACGCACTTTTTAACTATACTCAACAATAGCGCTCTTGTCGTCCTTTCCATAGACTTAATATTTACTTTCGTTGTTGGTGTGATTGGCGAGTTTGCCTGTTTGAGCGGATTGAAGTTGAGGATGGCATTTATGATCTTGTTTGAGATAGATGGCCGGGTTCGTATTAAGACGGGGATCGAATTGAGGGTTGCGTTGACCAAAATGGGATCGCTGTTTCTCCTGGTTAAAAGCTGCGCCCTTAGCTCGGCGTGGAGAGACAACTGACCTTGAATTCTCGTGGAAAACATTAAGCAGTCTATCCAGAAGTCCTGATGTCTCTGCTTCAATGTTAGGTATAGCTAGGAGTGGATGATTCCTTGGGACGATTGCTAAGGAGGTTTCGTTCTTCTCCGGTCGCTGGATGTGGTATTAGCTCTCCGAATATGTCCCTCCTGACTTCTCTTGACATTACGGTCATCACATACCCTTGGATCAGCTATTGGTCCCTGTGTTTGTACTTGGACAACCTTCTGTGCAAACTTGATACAGCATATCTTAACACCATGAGAAGATACGTCCCACTTCTTCAGTATAGTATGTTTTATGGTTGTCATCGTTTGCCATAACGAAGCCTGGCTAGCATCGCTCACACTAGTTATAGAGACAATAAAGGGGATTAGTGTTTTGTTTTCTTTCGTTCAGATGATGCAATAACGCATGTAGAGCTGGTGGGATATGCAAGACAGCCATGACCTACACTTGTCTAAATATAAGAACATAGATGCTTGCAGCTGTCATGATGGCACCTCGGACAACTGTCTCATCATTCTCAGGTGTATTCAGCAAATCGTTAACCGCACCGAGGATTTCAGTAGCTAATTTCTGCTTCGGTTGCTGAGGGAAAGCCGGGCTCGAAAACGTCTCTGTGAGAAACTCGGCCCCCCATCTTCGTAGCTCCAACCGCGCATTGACGCCAATTATAGGTAGTATGCCATGAACGATCTGAGGATAGAGAGCTGCATCGCCGAGAACGAGATTTCGAGCTGCGTCTAGCTGTGACATCTGCTCTACCAGACTATTCCCGGGCAAAGCCATGATGGACAATAGCTACCCAGACCACTGCCAGCAAAGAAAGAGGGAAGACCAGCAACAGTTGCTAGCTGCAGGCTATAAAAGCACCTCAAAGACAGGCTTGATAGTTGATTACGAGTGTCATCCAGCGGAATTGGGGGAAGGATGGTGGACTAATGGGCTGTTTTAGATGGGCACGAGAGGTACGAAACAGGGCGAAGAATCAAAACGACAGGGAGCAGAGTAGCTAGGAGGGAGTTGGATAAGTTGACAGCGGGAGTGACAGTGGCGCAGATCTTCCTAGGAACGCGAAGACAAGGTCTGCGGTGCTCGTTTGTCGAAAGGGACCCTGTTTATCTCGCGATGCGTGGACTTGTCTAACTATCTCAGCGTTTCGTCCAGGCGTCGTTCCTTTTTCCCTTCCTGCAACCTTCGAAGGGAGCAAGCTGTGCGCGCTGATTGGCCAGTACGCCATACCCCTTCACAAACCAGTCACATGACCATATCTTAGTCATTGCTGAGTCATGTTTGCTGAGTAATCTTTACTAAGCAGCACATGACGCAACATCAAAATTTCCGATGAGGAACAGAGAAAGCGCCAGAAAGGCATCTGATCAGGTCGCATGCTCTGGATATCTGCCCGCGCATCTGCTGTGCAGTCATTATACGGTTAAGAAACGCAAGATGTCGCTGTAAGTTACCTATTCCGAGGAATCCTCGTGCTGTTTCTTCTGAGAAAGCCCAAACTAACCCATAATGGTAGCTTCAAATCCTCATATTATGACAAAGACTATCGGGCGGGCGCTGCCTTGATGCGCGCACGGCGGCCGTATATAGTTAGAAACATTGCTACGGGAGCAGCTCTCTTCAGTTTCTGCATTGGCGTTTGTACGTGAACATCTACTTCTTTCAATGGCGGCTTCTTGGAACTATGGCGCACTAACGAGAGGATATTTGATATTAGACGCCTTCACCATCAACGCCGTTGGACAGGACGATTTCTCCGATGTCAAGGTTCCAGACGCACCAGCTGCAAAGCAAGCGGCTAAATAGATCCTACACGCACCGAGTGACATTCTAGACCAGGTCGATCTTACCTAGCTATCTTCTTTTACTCCCAATTGGAACGCACACGCACACGCACACACACCTACCTGGGTCTAAAGAAAGGAGAACGGCGGTTGATGGCTCCAAAATTGGGCATGTACTTACAGCGATTTGACGTTAAGGCGCGACGGCGTTGGTGGTTTCGTTTCCCCTAGGCGTGTGAAGTGCATCGGTACTGTTGAGAGAATCTCTGAGTACTGATGCTCTGCTTTTGAGAATAAGAAAGCTTCCATCTTTAAGTGTCAATCTACCTTGATACAAGATATGATGGATGCTTGAGATTCATTTAAGCATTTCCATATGTACTATAACTCCAATTACGCTTCTCCACTGTGAATTATATACTAATTTCATATCTTGTCAAATTGGAAAAACATATTTCTTAAGTTGCCTGCAAAATTAACAATTTAAATACATCGGGTCAATAAAATACATCAGAAGAGTGTAATAACCAGTTAGGCAAGGAAACTGCATCAAATATCAACTGGCGAAGAAAGCAAGAGTTAGTAAGTCCAGGCAGTATTCGTTGATTGTTTAATTTTGTTTCGTTGATTCATCCCGTCTGCGTGTCTCATACGATGTTTTGCTCCAGAATCTAGGTCCAAAGTTGGGAAACAGGGAGGAGGTTCTCCCTTATGTATTCGCCAGAAACAAGGGGAAAACCCGTGCTAGCCAGAATAGTGGACGAGAGGCAGAGAATGAGAAAACAATGTGAAGTGCGATCAATCAAATTCTCATGGTAGACATAGACTATGTGTTGTGTATATATAGGGTGGCGAATATATTGGTAACATTAACATTTCGAATGAGAGGAGAAAAATGTCAAGGAGCAGAAATGAAGAGAATAAAGATAATCAATTACACCAGAGTCCATATCCAGATCCTGATCCAGATGCATGTTCACCAAGTTTATGATTCGTGTACTCCGTAGCCATGTAGCAAGTAGTGGAAACAGGTAGATCAGAAGCAAAGGAGCTGTAAGAATGAATCGTCAAAGGAAAAGACGAAGATAAAGATAAAGGGAGAGTTGAGGAGAAGAAGATGCAAGGAAGATAGAGCACCGCCGACGGTAGATTGGTATATTGGGTAGTGTATGAGATATATGATTTAACGCCTCCCGCTCCGTTCCCAAAAAGTGAAAAAAAGGGGAAAAAATGGTATAACTATGGCAATGAAGAATAATAATAGGAGAAAAAAAAAAGGCAATTGGCAATCCGCTAGTTTCTTTTTGCTATCGCCGAGTGCGTATGCCCATTTTCTCGAGATCTTCATCCGTTTCCTGGGCTCTTGATGGTTTTAAGGACGGGGCAGCTGGAAAACCGACGTATTTTGCGAAACCAGCAAGGACGGAAACTTCTCGGTTGTAGGCTGCCTGATGTGCGATTTGTTTGCTTAGACGAGTGGGGAAGGGGATGGTATATTCTGTCACTGTGTCGGATGTGGCGTCTGCTAGTATGCCGCTGGCAGGCCCGGCCAGGCCTGGATAAGAACTTGAGCCGGCACCGGTGCCGGGACAACTTATACCGATGCCGCCGAATCTGTCGTGCTGGACTTTATATTGGTGCTCTGAGACAGCATCTAGAGCAGCTTCGCGAATCTCGCGCACAGTTTGGTAGTAGGATGAGTTGCACTGGGCTCGTTCAGCGCGGGACTTGACGCAGAGAGCTTGGAATTTGTAGGCGTGAAGAATCTTTTCGTGGTTGATTTTGGCATTGATATGAGATTGGACAATGGCGGCCTGGCGAAGGAATTCGGGGTGTGTTGGAGAGGGAGAAGAGAGCTGGGAGAGTTCTTCGTTGATGTTCGATATGCGTTCATCGTATATTCTAACGAAGGAAATGGTGAGCAAAGAGGGTCACATATAGGACAGTTTGCGGGAGTATGATAATTACCTATCTCGTAATGTTGCAAAATGTCGTTCAAGATCAGATAAAAGGTCGAGTGCTGTAGTTTTCTTCGTCACTGTCGCTGACCAGTCAGCTTCGTTGCGCAAAGCCTTTATGCGGCAGGTCAAAGGCTCCGGAGAACTTACATTCTTCTAATTTCACTGCCGCCTCCGGATCATCTCCAGTATCTGCCAGTGTATCGTCTACAGCCTGTTCTTCTGTAGCATCTACACCATTGCTCTCTACCACGGATCCGGCCCGTGGTGTGGAGTCTCCGAATGTTTCGGTATTGCCTTTCTTACCCCGTCTTTTGTCTCTTTTCCCTTTCTTGCCTCTCTTGGCTGAAGAGGAGAGGTATGGTTCGTCGGACACAGGGCTAGGACTGGTAGGCTTGGAGGCATCGGCGTTGTTCAGTTTTGATTTATCTTCATCATCCTCTGCCTCAGCTTCCGCTTCCGCTTCAGCTTCAGCTTCGGGTTCAGGCTCAGGCTCAGGCTCAGCATCCGCCTCAGCTTCGGCTTCGGCTTCACCTTCATCCTCGTCTTCCTCTTCTGGCGACTGAACAACTGGAGGATATGCGGACTCATCATCTGCAGAGGGTTCGACGGCGATGGACCCACGGCGCTTACGGGCAGGTTCTTCCCCATCATCGTCATCCTGTGGTAGAGCCGCCAAGTCATGCGTCGAGTTCATTCTCTTGCGCTTCTTGATAAGGCTCAGTGTTTCCTGTGACTCTGATAGCTTAGTTGACTTATAATCACTCTCTTTCTCGCTGTGGGCGTTGCCATTGCCCGTTCCGTTTGTCTTTGCTGAGCGCGGCGGCTTGCTAGGAGACGCTTCCGTGTCTTCAGCCTCATCATCCTCGTCCTCATTTTCTTCTTCTTCGTCTAGCTGGTCATAGGTAGTGGACTGTGCTAGCTTGCTTGGACTTGCGAAGACGCCACCGACACCGCTCAGGACGATGCTGGCTTTGTCACGGTCACGGTTATGGTGTGGCGAGTCCTCTATGCGCTCGGTTTCAGCCTCGGAGTCGATTTCCGATGCAAACTTGGACGGACGAGGAGAGAGGTCGTCCAGCTGGCCGTGGGAGAGGGTTTCGTCGATGTCCGAGAGACTGCTGGAGCGAGAGTCTGAGTCGATGGCGTCTGCGAGGGAGGCAGGCATTGACCCAGCTTGAAATCGCAGGTCAATGGAAGTATTGTTCGCCAGCATAGTAGGCAGCTTGACTGTTATCTAGCCGATGGTAGACGTGGTTGGGTGGTGTGTAGGATCGATTCTGTTGGAAGAAGGGTAAAAAGCCCTTGCTCCCTTGTAAGTCGGGTGCTGTCCGCACAAGAAGTCAGCCGACGATCAATAGCAAAAGAGCAAAACTGAGCTCAAAGATGGAGAGCAACAAGGTCACTGAATCATATCAAGCGAGCGTTTTCTAGAGATAGCAACCTCACGCAGGTGCTGGCAGCGCTTCGGCTATTTGGTCACGGGCAAATTCTGCCATCCAGCTTGCCCCAGGCAGGTCGATCGCAAGCCTGACGAGCAGGCCAGCGAGTATCGACAGCGAGGTATCTCTTTTGCGAGCAGCCCATAGACCTGTCTCTCCCTCTGTTCTATACTCCTTGATAATATCAAACGTACCTTTTGGGCTCGGTGCAAGCACAGGCAAGGATGAATATTTTTTTCCCTTTCTGCTCTGCGGGTTCCGCACGAGGGCGTCAGAGGCGGATCGCAAGCCGGCGAGGTGTATCCCCAGCGTGCGAGCTATCTCATATGCCCTTTTATTTCACTAGCTGCAGGTTTGATCGAGCATAGCAAGGGCGGAATCTCATGCATTCGACAGGGCGGCAGCCAGGCGCTATGAGGGGGTCTCTGTGAGCTGGCTCGGTACGTTGGGGAGGTGTGAAGCTGCAAGTTGACAGATGCTTTGCAAGACAGCGAGGGAGGCTGTACGCTTGGTAGACGGTTATATAGACGGTGCGAACGGCGGGCGGGATAGCGATGAGCAGTGAAGATGAAGCAGCAGAAGCAGCAGAAGAA